CATCCCTGGATGCGGGATGCTGGTACCCAGCCACGGGGGATGCGGGATGCTGGTACCCACCCACAGGGGATGCGGGATGCTGGTACCCACCCACGGGGGATGCGGGATGCTGGTACCCACCCACGGGGGATGCGGGATGCTGGTACCCACCCACGGGGGATGCGGGATGCTGGTACCCACCCATGGGGGATGCGGGATGCTGGTACCCATCCATGGGGGATGCGGGATGCTGGTACCCACCCACGGGGGATGCGGGATGCTGGTACCCACCCACGGGGGATGCGGGATGCTGTTGGGATACATGGAGTGGTCCTCCCGGGATACCAGGAGCGCTGAATCCAGTGCACGCTGCCCATTCCCGGCCTTTCCCAGTTTTCCCTTTACAGGTAGCACGAAGGGATGTGGATGTTTGCACAGAGGGCGTGTTTAATGGCACCGTGCACCTTGTCCCTGTTCCCGTCCATCCCCGGAGGGAGCTCTTTGGCACAAGGTGGGTTTCATCCATGGGGAAAAGGTCAGGATGAACCCATCCTGGAGAGATGTGATTGTGGGATCCTAAACCCCCCCATCCAAGTGACTTGGGAGCATCCACGCAGGACCCATAGGAACAGCAGCTCCTGCACACAGGGAATTCCATGCGGATCAAGGAGAGGTGCCAGGAGCCTGCAGCTGGGTGAGGGTTAGGGTTAGGGTTAGGGTTAGGGTTAGGTTAGGGTTAGGGTTAGGGTTAGGGTTAGATTAGGGTTAGGGTTAGGGTTAGGGTTAGGGTTAGGGTTAGGGTTAGGGTTAGGTTAGGGTTAGGGTTAGGGTTAGGGTTAGGGTTAGGGTTAGGGTTAGGGTTAGACTCAGGGTTAGGGTTAGGGTTAGGGTTAGGGTTAGGGTTAGGGTTAGGGTTAGGGTTAGCCCTGGGGGATGAGTGGCTTTTCCCCACCTTTCCCGCAGGTTCCCAGCACAGGGAATGCTGAGCACCATTCACAGCCTGGATGCTCTCCAGCCCCATCCTGCACAAGCATCCCCCAGGAGCTGGGATTCTGCTGGCCTTGGGATGAGGCAGCTCCGCATCCTGCCCCGGTGCTGGGGTTGGATCCATCGGTGTTTAACACAGCCCACACGGGGATGAAACCTTCCCAAAGCACATCCCTGCCTGCCGGAGGCGGTACCCAGGGGTTATCCCAGCTTCGGGTGGGGAATGGGGTCGGGATGGAGCCGCCAGCCCCGCGCCTGCGGTGCTGCTGTTATAGACCTTTTTATAGCACAAAGAGTGAGAGGAGCCAGGGACAGGATGAATCATGGGGTGAATCACAGACGGCGCTGGGTGGGAATGGACCTCAACGCTCATCCAGCTCCACATCGCCTTCCGCTAGAGCAGGATGCTCCAAGCCCCACGCAACCCAGCCTTGGACACTGCCAGGGATGGGGCATCCAAACCTTCTCCGTTCAACCCATCCCAGTGCCCCATCACCTTCCCAGGGAAGAGCTTCTGCCTCCAATCCCATCCCAATCCCCCCTCTGGCAGGTTCAAGCCATTCCCCTTGTCCTGTCCCTGCATCCCTGCATCCCAAGCCCTTCTCCAGGATTCCACACTCAGAAACTTGCCCCTTGCAGGGAAATGGGATATTCCGGGTGGATGCACACGTGGTCCAGAGGCTGCTCCTGCTCCATAGGAACAGCCTAGGGATGGGGCAGGAGGGCTCGGCCTCTGTTTGGGAGTTGGGGAAGGACCACAGAGCAACACGATGCCAAACCAGCTTTATCCTTCCCATCCCTCTCCTCACAGCCAAGCCCAGGGATGCGTTTCCCATTGGGATACCTGGAGATGCCGTTTGGCACCTCCTGGTTTAGGGAAGAGCCCAGAGCCCATCCCAGCTCCCCAGGGATGCTCCTGCCCCATCCCTGGCAGAGGTGACTCATTCCAGCATCCCACAGGGACACAGCAGGGACCTGCACCATGGACCACTCTGGCTGCTGAGCACAGCGGGGCTGCGGATGCTCACGGATCCTGGGATGCTCGAGCAGGATTGGTGCCATTCCTGGTGCTGGCATCTCCGAGCTCCCCCCCTCCCCGTCCACTGCTCACTGCGAATCCCAGCCCTTGCCACAAATGCAACTGGTAAATCTATTAATTTTCCAGCTCTAATTGATGTATCGCTGTAATTACCTCTTATAACAAGGCAATTAGAGCCTATTAGAGAGTATTAGCTAATTAAAGCTCCTCTACACGTACTCACCAACCCCCTTATGTGCACAGATTTGGGGGGGGGTGGAACTGGAAGCCCAGCACAGGGCCTTGCAGGTCAGCACCATGCATTGGGATGCTGGATGAGGAGATTCAGGTCCCATCCCTGCCTCTACCACTGCATCCCTTCATCCTTGGGTACCTCACTCCTATAGATAAGGGAGGGGGACCTCTGGGTATGGCTGATTTTCGGCTGTCTGGGATTCAATGGGAATATACTTGGAGGCTGGGATCTTCTCCTGCTGGTAGTGGGGTGGGCAGGGATGCAGGGTTAATGCTTTGATGCTTTGTTGGCCAGGAGGGAGGCTTGGAAAGAGCAAATTCCCACATGGAGATGGGATCCGTCCGCTTTGGAAAGAGCTGGAGGAAGGATGCCAAGGGCCAAGGGGAGCACAGCCCAGAGGGAAGACCCCCAGGCTCCTTGGGGAGAGCCCCATCCCATGGCTCTCCATGGATGCAGCCCCAGAGCTGCAGCATCCCTCAGCACCCCAAGCCCGCAGCGCTCCAGGGTTCCAGGCTTCTTCTGCTGCCCAAGGAGCGTTGGAGGCTGCAAAGAGGTTGGAATTCCAGCGATGGGGCTGATTCCTGCCCTCCCAGTCCTGCTGGGGGAGATAGAGCCAGTGCTGGACCCATGGATGCTCCTCAAGCATCCCTCCATCGCCCCTCGTATCCCCTGCGCATCGCTCCTCATGCACACACTGCTCCAGCCCATGGAAACCACAGGAATTCCCAGTTCTGGGCACGGATCCTGGCCTGGCAATGGCAGGGATGGGAGGTGCGGAGCGGGAGCCTCACCCCGCTGCTCATCTGCTTCGAATTAAACCCCTCCTGCCTTGCCCAAGGAGCAAGAAGCGCTTCGCCATCACAACCCATGGCTGCGTCAGGATGGGCTCATCCTGCCCTGGTCCAAGGCAGGGCTGATGGGGATGATGGAGCAGGAGAAGGGCATCGCAGCAATGGGAGCCAGCGTGGGGATGCCACCCCATCAAGGAGGGTCACAAGAGCCCCCCTAAGCCTGGGAATGATGGGACCAGAAGCCAGGAGCCAGGATACGGCCCCTGCTGTGCCCATGACCCTTAGCTGGGATTTTTAGCTATTGCCCAAGCCCATCCCTGGGCCTTTGCCCTCGCTGCGGTTCCCGTGTGGAGCAAACGCGGCTTTAACCCCGCTGTCATTGGGATCGCCGTCCCTCACCCTCCCCAATGCTGGGAATGGGATGAGTGCATCGGGGGGGATACAGGGAAGAGGAGAAGGGGATGGAGCTTCGGGCTCTTGCGGCCCCAACGGCAACCCCGTTGTCCTTGGGATCGCCGTCCCTGGGAATGGGATGAGTGCATGGAGGGGGGGATACAGGGAAGAGGAGAAGGGGATGGAGCTTCGGGTTCTTGCGGCCTCAACGGCAACCCCGTTGTCCTTGGGATCGCCGTCCCTGGGAATGGGATGAGTGCATCGGGGGGGATACAGGGAAGAGGAGAAGGGGACGGAGCCGCGGGCTCTTGCGGCCCCAGCTGCGGCTCCAGCGGCATTCCCGGTGCCCAGCCCAGGGCCAGTGACTCACGGGGCCGGGATGAATCATTCCCGGAGCGCGCATGCACCCACACGCGTGTCCCTCGGCCTCTGCCCCCTGTGTTTGCCTCTCTGTTGCTCTGGTTGCTGGGTGAGTCATTCCCAGCCTGCCCGCGGCTTTTCCTGCTCCGAGCGAGCCGGGATAAGCATGGAGCGGGGTGCCCGGGCTCCCATTGGTGCTCCCAGCCATGGGATGCAGTTCCCATTCCGGCTTCCCTTGCTGCAGAGCCCGCATTGCAAGCAGGAGCCTACAAATGAAGCCCCCCCAGTCACCCTTCCGGGGGTGCTGCTTCCCCATTCCCAGTTTTCCATCTCCTGTGCAGGGTTTGAGGTGTCAATGAAGCACCCCCCATCGGTAGCACTGGGATGGGGTCAGGAAGCAGATCTGGAAGTCGGGAGCTGCTGAGGCTCGGAGGGAGGCAGAGCCGCCTGGACCAAGCTGGGAAGACTGGGAATGACCCCTTTGGGAACTGGAGATAGTGGGAGAATGGTGGTGGGGCTGGGAATGGTGGTGGGGGAATGGGAACTGGTGCTCAGAACTGGGGGGGGGGGGGGGGTGTGTCCAAACGGAGCACATCTGAGATGGGAAATGGGGAGAAAGGGTTAAACTGGGCACAGGGAAACTGGGAGCAATGGAGGGGGGCACTGGTGTGGAGAGAACTGGGCTAAGCCAGCAATGGGGTGTCCTCGGGTGCCCCAGAGCTCTATGTGATGGTTTGGGGCTCAGGGGCACCCTGGGCAATGGGGGAGCTGGGATCCTGCCCTTGGGTCCCCAGACCCCGCATCCTGGGATGCTCCATGTGCTTGCGGTACCCAGGACCCCCTGGGGCCAGCTTGAGGTGCCCCTTACCCCACTGTGTGGGGCAGCGATGCCCTTGGGGTGCCCGGCGCAGCCTCTCTGAGCCTTGGAGCACTTTGCCCTTTCCAAAGGGAAAAGGAATGGGGGAAGAAGGGGTTTTTCCAATGGGGTCACCCCAAAGACCCCATTCCCAAGGATGCTTTTCCCTGCTTCCCCCCCACAGCAGCAGTGCCCGATGCAAGGGTGTTGCCCGCAGCGGGGCCTCGTTAACTCCACCCTCCTCCTCCTCCTCCTCCTCCTCGCAGCTCCTCCTCCCTGCCGGGATATAAGCGGGGCACCCGGACAGGAGGCGCTCGTTTGGGGGACCCCGTGACCTGAACCCGAGTCCTTTCGCCTCCGGCACCCCGATGGCGACCCCTTCGCAGAAGCGGAGCACCCGCAGCGGGGCTGCGGGGACCCCCCTGTCCCCGACCCGCATCACCCGCCTGCAGGAGAAGGAGGACCTGCAGGAGCTCAACGACCGCTTGGCCGTTTACATCGACAAAGTGCGCTCCTTGGAGCTGGAGAACGCGGGGCTCCGGCTCCGCATCACCGAGTCCGAGGAGGTGGTGAGCCGGGAGGTGTCCGGCATCAAGGCTGCCTACGAGTCGGAGCTGGCCGATGCCCGCAAGACCTTGGATTCCGTGGCCAAGGAGAGAGCTCGGTTGCAGCTGGAGCTCAGCAAAGTCAGGGAGGAGCACAAGGAGCTCAAAGCGCGGTGAGTGCCATAGGGATGGATGGAGGGATGCGGGGGGAACGGAACGAGGACGGTGGCGGGACGATCGTTGTCGTCATGGCTGGCAAAGAGCCGGGAGTGAGGAAATAGAGACCTGGAGGAGGCCGGGAGAGGAGAAACCCGTGACCTGGCTGGAGCTGGAGTGCCCATAGCAAGGCCCAAGAGGACAGGGAGGGTCTCCCAGTATTCCCATTCCCTCCCAGTACTGGGGATGCTCTGGGAGCGGTGGCCCCTCCGCATTCGTCATCCCGGAGCTATTCCCGAGCAGGCTGGGCCGCAGGGCAGGAAGCGGTGCCAGGCAGCTGGCTCCGTCCTGCCCACCACGGAGCTCGCCCTCTTTTCCTCTGCTGCCTTTGGCACTTAAAGAACCCGCTCCGGTTGGCTTTGCCTTAACCCTGCCTGTGCCGCGGGGTCCCCTGCGGCGATGCCTGCATCCCCATCCCATCGGCTGCCTCTGGGCGATGCATTCCCGCTTGGCTCCGAGGCTCCGATCCCCCCCCTTTCCTGACAGGTTTATGTCATTCCCTTCCTGCCATAGGGACCTCCCCGCTGCTGCCGCTGCCTCTGCCCTTCCCATGCTGGGAGCGTGTCCCCTGAGGACACCGCTCTTGGCACAGCGCTGGGCTTCCCTGTGGCTCCGATGGCCCCGGTGCCATTGGGTTCCCCCCCGTCCCTGGGGCAGCATCGGGACAAGCCCCCTCTTCCTCCCTTTGTGCCTCTTGCTCTGGAGACCTCCTTTGGAGCCGTCTCCGACGAGGCTAAAATTAACCTGCCCCGAAGATGCCGTCAACGTTCTTCCGACAGGGAGAGGGTGAAGCGAAGCCCTTCCCAGCGGGATATATATAGCTCCATTCCCCATGTGCTGGGCTCGGATAAGGCACCGTCCCCGCTCCCAGGGAGCTGAGCTGAGCTCTCCAAAGGCTTTTCGCTGCCTGATGCAACCCCAGAGCTATCTTGGCCGTGGTATTTGGAGCCTGAGAGCTTTATGGGTGATGGGCTGCGATGGGAAACGCTCCCGGAGCTTCTCCATCCCTACCAAACCCCCATCGGAAAGCCGGGGGGTTCCCCAAGAGCAGCTCTTGGGTTGGAGGCGGGTTTGGGTGCGGGCTCAGGGCTGGTTGCTGAAGGAGGGAGGTGTCTGTGACTCATGGCTGTGAGATGAGAGCTGATATCCATCGCCGCCCTTTGCGTGCCACGGCGCTGGGCACCAGCATCGGGGCCTCTTCCCCCCCCCCCGCCCTACGGGCACGCAGTCGTTACCAAGTCGTTCTCACATCCCCACGGGCCTTCTCGGTGTGGTGCTGAGAGGGGGGCACTGAACAGGGATGCTGGGGTTGGAAACGGTGTCCTCAGTCTTTGAGCCGTGGCTTGGAGCCATTGCAAGGGTCAGGAAGGGCTTGTGTGGTGCTGCTCCATCCCAATGGGGAGAACCGGTCCTACCCCCCCAAAGCCCCTGGTCCTCATCTCACTGCCCTTTGCACTGGGGAGTCCCCAGCTCACCCCATCCGGGTATCTCCCATGGGGCAGGCAGCAATGGGGCTGCGTTATCAGCATCCCCCAGCATCGCCGCTGCCCGCGCCTGCGGTTGTCTCAGCAGCACAGAAGTGGGGCTGGGGCTGTCGTGGGACGTTGTGTGTGGGGCGCAGTTCCTAGGGCTGGGGCCGCCCCATAGCACCCGGTTCCTGTCCCTCCCATGCAGGGTGGAGGGTGTGCAGCAGGAGACCGGTCTCACCAGCTCCCGACGCACTGGTGCAAGAGCGGGGTGGGTGAAGCAGGGGCCGGTATTCCCTAGCTCCCTGCCCTGTGCCCCTCCATCCCGCTGTTCCCAGCTCTTCCCTTGGGCTGGAGCCTTCCCATTGCAGTCAGCTGCTCCCAGTGCCGGTCTAGGAAGGGTTTCCCAAAGTCCCCACCACCATGGGGAGAGCCTGGAATGTCCCTGCTGCGGTCCCAAAGGATGGGCAGGAGGGTTTGGAGGGGGGGATGCTCTGCATCCCGATCCTGCCCTGTCCATGAGCTGTGGGGTCTTTAGGGATATAGGGACAGGACAAGGCCAGAGGGGAGATGAGGCTGGATGGGGCTTGGAGGAGCTTGCTCTAGTGGAAGGTGCTTGGATCTGGGTGAGCTTTAAGGTCCCTTCAACCCAGCCCTATGGCAACCGGATCCCTCTCATCCCAGCTCCCTGCTTGGGCAGGGGCAGCTCCCTCCTGCGGAACCAGACCCTTGTTGGAGAGCGGCTGCTGAGCGATGACTTCCTCAATTGCAGCCCTTAATGCGATTAAAGCGGTGCTGGAAGAGCCTCTTCCTGCTCATCCCTGCCTTAAGGAGGAAAAGTGCCTTTTCCATAGGGGTTATTGAGGGGGGGAAGCTCCTCCAAGCGCAGACCCAACAGTCCCTCATCCCCAATGGGTTTTACCCCATATCCAGCCATGAGCACCCAAGCAGGAGCAGGAAAACGGAGTGGAGAAGGGATAACGAACCCCAATCCCACGCCTGGAGCCTCCCGCCTCCGGGCCGGGCGCTGCCTGCAGCAGTGACGTCCTTCTGCTGGAACAGTTTGTGTGTGTATGGGGGGGGGGAAACCTCAGGATCTTGGCCCGTTTCCCCCTCTGTGCCTTGGGAAACCTTTGCCAGGGAAGGAGCGGTTGGGATCTGAGGAGGCTTTGCCCTTTTGGAGCACACAAAGAGCAGTTTGTGCTGCAGGGGGATGCTCGGGGGGAGGAGATGCAGAGCCAGGGCTGGTCCAGGAACCCCTGCATCCCTCATGGACCCCTTTACACCCGCGGCTGTTTCTCCTTGTCCAGCCCCGCTTTATCCCAATAGGAAAGTTTGAGGCAGGGGAAGCTGCTCCAACACTTTCGTTTCGGTGGCTCTGCTCCCATTGCTGGCGTCTTCCCCGCTCCGGCTGCAGGGCAGGGCCGCCCTGGGAATGAGGGGAATGAGAGGAAATCCTGTTGCCTTCATCACTTGTACGGCGATGGGATCCACCCTCGCAAATCAAGGGCTTTATCCCAGAGATGTGGGGTTAAACAGAAGCAATTCCAATGGGAATTGTGGCTGCTTTTGGTGTGGGGATGCATCCCCCCCTTTCCACACAGCGCCAAGCACAGCGTGTCCCAGCCTGCCCTGGCTGCACTTGCTGCCACAAGTGTTTTCCTGCCTCTTGCACGTCACTGGATTCCCAGTTAACGCTTGAGCTCCGGAGCCATTCCCAGTGTGTGGAGGGGCTGCTCCCGGCTCCTTGTGCTGAGCTGATGCCCTTTGGGGATTGATGCCTGGCATCGGGACAGGAGGAAGCCACCGGAGCTTTGCCCCCTGGTCATGGCCAACGTGATGGTTGGCACAGATGAGTTCCAACCCAAACCACTCTGATTCCATATACAGAGTCCCTGGGTGGGTTTGGGATGGGAAAGCCGGGAATCACTTCCCACTTTCCCCATTTCCCGGCCTCTTTCCAATGCCTTTTGCTGCCCCAGCCCCTTTGTGCCTGGCTCAGCACATTCCCAGCAGCCCCTCACCGTGGTGCCAGGGCTGGGTCCTCAGCCCTGGGATGAGGGATGAATGGGCCCAGTGTGGAGGGAGCAACTGGAGCAGCACCGGTGCCACGGCAGCTGCATCCGCGGCTGTGCTGGGTCGCATCCAGCTCATGTCTGAGCCCTGTGGTGCTGGTGGGGGCTGAGGAAGTCCAAGGGGGTGGAAGCTGGGTGCTGGAGAGGGATCTCCATCAGGGACCAGAGGGATGGGACAAAGGGTGATGGGTTGGGGCTGAAACAGGGGAAGTTCAGGCTGGAGATAAGGAAGTTCTCCCATGGGAGGGTGCTGGGACACTGGAATGGGTTGAATGGAGAAGCTGTGGCTGCCCCATCCCTGGCAGTGCTCAAGGCTGGGTTGGACACGGGCTTGGAGCAAGCTGCTCCAGTGGCACGGATTGGAGCTGGATGAGCTTCAAGGTCCCTTCAAGCCAGCCTGACTCTGTGATGAGTTGGTTGATGGAGTGCATGGAACCAAGCCCATGGGAATGCCAGGGAACCAAACTGGGGTTGGGACATCCCTGTTGGGAGCGGTGCAGAGTCAGCATCACCGCCCATTACCCATCATAAACCAGCAAGGAAGGTGAATGCGATCGGGGTTACCCTCCCAGCCATGGAGCTCTATTGCTGCCATCCCATATTCAGAGCCAGGAGATGCTGCAGGAAGCGGTCCAAAGTCCCCTGCCAGCCCAGGGAGCGTGCACAGTGACTGCCTCCTGCTTGGACTTTGCCCTGCTCCCTTATGGGGCTGCACCTCTGCAGGTGTTGGCACCGTGTCCCTATAACATGGGGATGGAGCCAGGATTGGGAGCCAAGAGCTCTTATGGATCCCTTGCATTCCTGTGCTGGGGCTGTGAGTGCCTCTGCTGGGAGGTGGTTTCTGATAGCAGAGGTCTCTCAGCCAAAGGGCCAGGTTGGAGCAAGCTGCTCCAGTGTTAGGGATAGGAGCTGGATGCGGCCCCTTCATCCCAACGCAGGCTGTGCTTGTGTGATGGATGAGTCAGGCTCAGCCCTGGCGCTGGGTGCGGTTCCTGGCGCTCTCGCCTTCCCCCTTCCTTCCTCATGTGATGGGTGCTGGTGGATAACCCCGCTCCCAGCAGCGCCCATAGGGTGCAGGGATCCATGGTGCTCCTCTCCCTTCATCCCTATGGAGGAGAGGAGGGAGGGTTTGGCAAAGCCGAGCCTTCATCCCATGGGTTTAAACCTGCGTCTCCCAGGGATGCTGCCCCGTGGTCCAGTGCGAAGGATGCTACAGCAGGCAGAGGGGGTCTGCATCACCTCATCCCTGTGCTCCAGCTGCCTTTTCCCAATGGAATCCCATCCAGACCCGCCCCGGCTGCAGATGGCAAACAAGGCAGCAGCAGGCAAACAGACCTTGTGCAGGGTAAACACCTCCCTGCCCCTTATCTGCTGCGCTGCAGGGCTGGGAGCAAACCCTTTTGTTCCCGGCAAGCTGCATCCCGCAATTCCCGCTTTGTTCCCTGCTTGGAAGCTTTGTGGACCCCAATGGATGGGAAAGGGGGTGAGGGGCTGGGCAAAAGGGAGCCCTTAGGCTTGCTCCTTGGTTTGCCCCTCCTGTGTCCTTTCTGCCTTGTCCCATTTGGGACCCCATTCCCAGCCATGGATCCGTATGAGCAGAGCGGCTTCCCCACTGCTTTCCATCACTTTTGCATGCGGAGATGGCACCGGGAAGGGGACCACAGCCACATTTCCATGGTCCTGGAGCTGGAATTCGCATCCCTGCTCTTCCTCTGCTGCCCCAAGCCCTGGCTGCATCCACACAAGCTCAAGGCTGTTTCCCCTCCCTGCTCCAAGGAAGACGCAGCTTCATGCCCAAGGGATGCGCAGTGCGGGCAATGGAAAGCCCATTCCCATCCCTTTCCCCATTGACTCCCATTCTGTAGCCGGCCAAACCCCTTTTTCCAGCTCTAAAACCCTTCTGGGAATAGCATCCGCCCTCCCAAACCACGGAGCCCTCCCGTTTCCAGGGGGAACTGAGCCCAAACAGCCACGTCGTCGCTCCATGACTTGGGATTTCCATTGGAGCTGGGATGAGTCACCAGCCTGGGGTAGGGAGCGAGTGGCACTGGGGCTCGGTGGCTTTTGAATGTGCTTTTTAGCATCCAAAATCCCATTTCCAGCTTCCAAGCTATGGGGGAATGGGCATCATTCCATGCTGTGGTCCTGCGTGTCCGTGCATCCCGGTGCTGATGGAGCCAGGGTGCTTTTCCCTGTTAGGATGTGGGGAGATGGCGCAGGGTGGATGCATGGAAAGGAGAAAAGCTCCTTCCAAGGCTTTGTATGGGAATGCTTGTATGGATGCTTGTATGGGAATGCTTGTAGCTCATTCCTGAAGGGATCAAACTGGGAGCAACTCCCAGTGAGGCTCCTGGTGATGGGATTTGTGGAGCGATAGGAAGGAGCGGGATTCTGGGTCCATTTATATCCCTATGAAATGCCCTTTCCTTGTTCCAGTGGGTTTGGTCCCCATTAGGATGCATGGAAAAACCAGCTCCCCATTCCAGGAAGGGGATGCCAACAAGCGGCGTGGAGCTGAGCAAACCCCGCATCCCTAGGGATGAAGGGGCTCTGGCCTAGCGGATGCTGGAGGGTGGGAGCCGCTTCCATGCATCCATGGGCACTGGCATTCCCGGGCTGGCAGGATGCTGGCTGCGTGCGGATCCCGTCCTCCCTATACATTGTGCTGGTTCCTTGGGATCTGTGCTTGGAGACGGGCTCTGTTTATCCTGGTGACCTGGCAGAGGCAGGGATGAGTCAGGAGCTGCTTTGCCACATTCCCGGTGCTCGGCCATAAAGGATTTCCTCACCCTGTCCCTGCTGCTTGTTCTGTAGGGCCCTGGGCCTTGGCATGGGGGGAGCATCCCTGGGATAGAAGGAGTAATCCATGGGATGGGGGTAATGGTCCTTGGGATAGGGGAAGTGATCCCTGGGATGGGGGTAATGGTCCTTGGGATAGGGGAAGTGATCCATGGGATGGGGGTAATGGTCCTTGGGATAGGGGAAGTGATCCATGGGATGGGGGTAATGGTCCTTGGGATAGGGGAAGTGATTGATGGGGATGGGTCCTAGCCATGAGGTAGATCTGGGATGGGGGTAGGTCCTTGGGATAGGGGAAGTGATCCCTGGGATGGGGGTTATGATCCTTGGGATAGGGGAAGTGATCCCTGGGATGGGGGTAATGGTCCTTGGGATAGGGGAAGTGATCCCTGGGGTAAAGGGAAGAGATTTATCCATGGGGAAGAAGCTCCTGACTTGACATCTTGTCTGGATTGGGAGGCAGGGAAGGAGGGAAGGGCCTGGTTCTCCAGTACCGGCCCCATCCCATTCCATGCTCCCTCCCCAGCAGCCTCAAGCCTCAGCAAGGGCTCAGCTATGGATGAGGAGTGGGCTTTGAGCATGCCCAGTGCATCCCTCCACAATGATCCATGTCCTGCCTCAGCATTCCCAGAGGGAGAACCCAGATCCAGGCTCCTTCTGGATCCTGGACCAGAGGGAAAGGCAGGAATAGAACCAGGGCCAAGGATGCCAAAGGTCTCCAGATCCTTTCTGCAGCCACCCCGTGCGCTCTGCAGGCTCGTGCCTGTGCCTGTGCCTGTGCCTGTGCCGAGCCCGCTCCGAGCAGATCCAACTTTCCATGAACGTTGGGATTTTCTGGCAGCTGCAATGGGGAATTTTTGTTCCCCTCCTTCCTGCTTTTAAGAGCTAAAAATAATCTGGAGGCCCCTTTTCCCTCTGTCTGCCTCTGGAGACTTTTATTCCTGAAGGATTCGGTCCCTTCCTTGTGTTGTCTCCTCTTGGCATCAATGAATGCTTGGGTTTGCGCTCGCCTCTCCCAGTGTAAGGAAGCAAATCCCATGGGAGCTGCTCCACAAGTGGGGCCGTGCTCCCCTTGGGGTGGTGGAGCCCTTGCAGGTGGGATAGGGAGAGCAGTGGGATGGGGAGGAGGAGGAGGAGGAGGATGATCCCTGCTCATCCCATTCCCAAGGGACGTGGGAGCGACGCAGCTGCTATGGGAGTGATGTATTTTTAGCCCAGCGCCAGTTGGAGGCTGCAGGGAAAAACGAGCAGGATCCAATGGGAAACAAAGGGGGGAAAAGGGGATTTTTCCTCGAGTCCCCTAGGATTTACCATGGAGCATCAGCAGATCCAATCTCAGCCTTTTCACTCCTCAATGGTGCCAGTGTCCCTTAAAGCATCCCAAAGCCAAACCGCATCCCAAAGAACCAGTGACCCCCCCAAACCCACCCCATACACCCAGGTCCCAGTGTTTGGAGGTGGTTAAATCCATCGGGAACAGCGGGATCGATCCCTGTCGGCAGCGAGGAGCTGCTGCCAGATGGGACAACTCCGGCTCTGGATCCGCTCCCAGATGGCATTTTTGTCCCGTGAGTCAGTGGCATGGAAGGAGTGGGATGCGCTGGGAGGCCGGTGGTGCCCCAGGAAAGGGGGTTAATGGGGTACGGCACCACGGGGATAGCTTGGAATGACTTTTCCATGCTGGCTCCGGGCAGAAAACAGAAGGAGAAGCAGGAAAAACCAAGCACGGAGCTTCCCACACCCAAGTCTGGGAATGCTGGAGAGGAATGGAGGCAGCTCCCCTATGTGTTCCCTATGGGAAGCGGGGCAGATCCTACTGTGGGGCTGCTATTTCGGAGCCATGGGGCAGGAATTGTGCCTCGGGAACGTGCCCATCCTGCCCCCCATTGGGGTGTTGCTCCCTGTCTGGTGCTGGCAGGCACCCACAGGGCTGGGCTTTTTATAGGACCTACCAAAATAGCCCCAGGTTGTGACTGGGGGGGCTCGGGTCGGGTTCCCCAGGCACAGAGCGATGGCTCCATAAGGAACAGGCTGGATCTGGTCCTGGAGGGTGGGAAGAGAGAGGGGAGGAGCGAGGGATGGGATGGGATGGGGCGATGCTGGAGGGCAGGGGAGTCACCCGCAGTGCGGTGTGGGGCTGGGCCTGCCATATACACTGTGCCATATACACAGTGCTCTATACACTGTGCTGTATACAGTGTGTGGTATACACTGTGCCATATACACTGTGCCGTATGCACTGTGCCCTATACACAGTGCCATATACACTGTGCCACATACACTGTGCCGTATACACTGTGCCATATACACTGTGCCATATACACAGTGCCGTATACACTATGCTGTATACACTGTGCCATATACACAGTGCTGTATACACTGTACTATGTACACTGTGCCATATACATTGTGCCACATACACTGTGCTGTATGCACTGTGCCATATACACTGTGCTCTATACACTGTACCATATACACTGTGCCATATACACTGTACCATATACATAGTGCCATATACACTGTGCCATATACACAGTGCTCTATGCACTGTACTATATACACCGTACCATACACATAGTGCCATATACACTGTACTATATACACTGTGCCATATACACTGTGCCATACACACAGTGCTCTATACACTGTGCCACATACACTGTGCTATATACACAGTGCCATACACACAGTGCTCTATACACTGTACCATATACACTGTACCATATACACTGTACCACATACACTGTGCCATATACACTGTGCTCTATACACTGTACTATATACACAGTGCTCTATGCACTGTACCATGTACAATGTGCCATACACACTGTCCCCCTTACACCGCTGTATATACACTCTGTGCCACGCACTGCTCTGCCGCAGCCACTCACCCACCCCATGTGGTCCCTGTAGGAACGCCAAGAAGGAAGGGGACCTGCTGACGGCGCAGGCGCGCCTCAAGGACGTGGAGGCTCTGCTCAACTCCAAGGAGGCCGCGCTCTCCACGGCCCTGGGCGAGAAGAGGAACCTGGAGAACGAAGTGAGGGACCTGAGGGCGCAGGTGGCCAAGGTGAGCACGAGCATCCCCTGTCCCCATGGCTCCCTATGGAGCCGGGTACCAGAGAGCCGGCTCTGAGCATCCTCCATGCGCTGCAGCTGGAGAGCGCCTTGGGTGAAGCCAAGAAGCAGCTGCAGGATGAGATGCTGCGGCGCGTGGATGCCGAGAACCGGCTGCAGACGCTGAAGGAGGAGCTGGAGTTCCAGAAGAACATTTACAGCGAGGTGAGTGTCCCTGCGCGGGAGAACCCCGCTCCCACCGCATCGCATCCCCGTTCCCAAAGCTGATCCCACCGCATCCCGGCCCCAGGAGCTGCGGGAGACCAAGCGCCGGCACGAGACGCGGCTGGTGGAGATCGACAACGGGCGGCAGCGGGAGTTCGAGAGCAAGCTCTCGGAGGCCCTGCAGGAGCTGCGGAGCCAGCACGAAGCCCAGATCAGGCTCTACAAGGAGGAACTGGAAAAGACCTACGGGGCGAAGGTGAGCAGAGCCCCACGTGCCTTGTGCCCCCCTCACCCTGCCCCATAGGGCTGATGGGCATGGCAGCCCCTCCATCCATCCTTCCATCCCTCAATCCTTCCATCCATCCATCTATCCATCATCATCCATCCATCCATCCCTTCATCCTTCCATTCATCCATCCATCCATCCATACATCATTTATCATCCTCCCTCCCACCCTCTCTCCCTCTGTCCATCCATCCATCCATTCATCCCTCCATCCATCCCTTCATCCTTCCTTCCTTCCATCCATCCCTCCCTCCATCCATCCATCCATCCATCCATCCTTCCATCCATCCCTCCACCCATCCATTCATTCCTCCATCCATCCCTCCATCCCCCCATCCCTCCCTCCCTCCCTCCCTCCATCCCTCCATCATCCATCCCTCCATCCATCCCTCCATCCATCATCCATCCATCCATCATCCCTCCATCATCCATCCCTCCATCCATCCCTCCATCCATCATCCATCCATCCATCATCCCTCCATCATCCATCCATCCATCCATCCCTCCCTCTCTCCATCCATGTCCTCCAGCTGGAGAACGCCAAGCAGTCGGCTGAGAGGAACAGCAACATGGTTGGTGCTGCCCATGAGGAGCTGCAGCAGACCCGCATCCGCATCGACAACCTCTCCTCGGAAGTCAGCCAGCTCCAGAAGCAGGTGAGTGAGGACCGGGGTGGGGGGTCCCTGGGGATGCACCACCTCAAAGGGTGGCTTTAGATGGAGCATCCCCCCCTCACCTCCCCGTCCCCATGCAGTTGGCTGCTAAGGAAGCGAAGCTGCACGACCTGGAGGATATCCTGGCCAGGGAACGTGAGACCAACCGGCGCCTGCTGTCCGACAAGGAGCGGGACATGGCCGAGATGAGGGCACGCATGCAGCAGCAGCTCGATGAGTACCAAGAGCTGCTGGACATCAAACTGGCTCTGGACATGGAGATCAACGCCTACCGCAAGCTGCTGGAGGGCGAGGAGGAGCGGTGAGCATCCAACCCAACGGGGCTCGGTGCCTCCCGGTCCTCGGGTCCTCACTGATTCCATCTCCCCTTCTCCTCCTGCCCAGGCTGAGGTTGTCTCCCAGCCCTTCCTCCCACAAAGGGACATCCCGGAGCCATTTGTCCACCCCAGGCTCCTCCAAGAAGAGGAAGCTGGAGGACAGCGAGAGCCGGACCAGTTTCTCCCACCATGCCCGGACGAGCGGCCGCGTCGGTGTGGAGGAGGTTGACTTGGAGGGGAGATTCGTGAGGCTCAGGAACAAGTCCAATGAGGTGAGTTTGCCTTCAGGGAGCAGCCAATGGGGGGGATGAGTTCATCCCTGTTTCACCCCATGGATGGGATGGAGCTGGGGCAAGCTGGGGAGGAGCGGAGGGATCTAAGCTTGGGGTCTCTTTCAGGACCAGGCGATGGGGAGCTGGCAGATCAAGAGGCAGAATGGAGACGATCCCCCCATCACCTACCGCTTCCCCCCGAAGTTCACCCTGAAAGCTGGCCAAGTGGTCACGGTGAGTCGCTGCCCAGTGACGGATCCAGCCCAGATCCCAAACCCAGTCATGGAATCCGAGAACCCCACAATGGGTTGGGTTGAAGGGAACCTTAAAGCTCATCCAGTTCCACTGGAGCAGGATGCTCCAAGCCCCATCCAACCTGGCCTTGAGCACTGGCAGGGATGGGGCAGCCCCAGCTTCTCCCTTCAACCCACAGTTGAATGCTCTGTGCTCTCCTCCCTAGATCTGGGCCTCGGGGGCTGGTGCGACCCATAGCCCCCCCAGCAACGTGGTGTGGAAAGCCCAGAGCAGCTGGGGCTCCGGCGACAGCCTGCGCACTGCCCTCATCAACTCCAATGGGGAGGTAAGAGCCCAAGGGCAGCTCTAGGGCATGGGGTGGGGGTCAGCAGCCACCAAACCCCCCCCCCCCCAACTCCTTTGCTGTCCCCTGCAGGAGGTGGCCATGAGGAAGCTGGTCCGCACCGTGATCATCAATGATGACGATGAGGATGAGGACGATGATGAAGTTAACATCCATCACCGCCATCACCACGTGAGTGATGCAGGGGGCTGTTGGAGGGGTGATGGGATGGGATAGTAACAGGGTCTATGGAATTAGAGTAATAGTATTAGGGTCATGGAATGGTTTGGGTTGGGAGGGACCTTAAAGCTCGTCCAGCTCCAACCCCTGCCACAGGCAGGGACACCTTCCACTAGGGCAGCTTGCTCCAAGCCCCTGTGTCCAAGCTGGCCTTGAGCACTGCCAGGGATCATCATCATCATCATCATCATCATCATCTAACAGTAATAGTAATAACAATTAGAAGAGAAAGAAGAAGAAGGGAGAAGAAGAAAACCGAGAAGGAAAAGAAAAAGAAGGAGAAGAAGAAGAAAATGAAGAAGAAAATGAAGAAGGAGAAGAAGGAGGAAATGAAGAAGAAGAAGGAGGAAATGAAGGAGAAGAAGAAGAAAATAAAGAAGGAGAAGAAGAAAATGAAGAAGTAAATGAAGAAGGAGAAGAAGAAGAAAATGAAGGAGAAGGAGAAGAAGAAGAAAATAAAGAAGAAGGAGAAGAAGAAGAAAATAAAGGAGAAGCAGAAAATGAAGAAGAAGGAGGAGAAGGAGAAGAAGAAGAAGGAGAAGAAGAAGAAGGAGAAGAAGAAGGAGAAGAAGAAGAAGAAGAGAAAAGGCATAAGAAGAAGGAGAAGGAGAGAAAAGGAAGAAGAAGAAGGAGAAGAAGAAGAAAATAAAGAAGAAGCAGAAAATGAAGGAGGAGGAGAAGAAGAAGGAGAAGAAGGAGAAGAAGAAGAGAAAAGGAAGAAGAAGAAGGAGAAGAAAATTAAGAAGAAGAAGAAGAAAAATTAGAAGGATAAGGAGAAGGAGGAGGAGGAGAATGCATAGTCCTGATTAATAACACAATTATTGTTATCAGCACTATTAGTTTCAAAGCAGGGGATGGGCCGCTCATGGACCCTCTTTGAAGCCCTCCCTGCAGAGCCCTCCTGGCTCCCACCACGCTCCTCAGGGCAGGGTCCTTGATGCCGGTGCTTGAGGTCCCTTTGTCCCTGTCCCAACCCCTTCCCTCTGGTGCAGGGCAGCTGCGGTGGCCCCGGTGATCCCGGTGAATACAACCTGCGCTCGCGCACCGTGGTCTGCGGCACGTGCGGGCAACCGGCCGACAAGGGGGGCAACCAGAACATGGCCACCATGTCCTCAGGCTCGTCCACCTCCAGCGTGACCGTCACCCGCAGCTACCGCAGCATGGGCGACAGCGGCAGCATCGGCCTCGGCGAGACGCTGGTCACCAGGAACTACCTCCTGGGTGACTCCGGGCCGCGCCGGCAGGTTGGTAGCCACCAGCAGCCTCCTCTGTCTGCAAGGCAGCGCCTTCCTCTTCCTCCTCTTTGCTCTTCCTCTTGCTCCGGGCACCTTTGGAAAGGGAGGGATGGGGAGGGGTTGTCCGCAGCATCCCCACATCCTTGACCCCCCGGGGAGCATCCTTCATCCCAATGGCTCCCATTCCACCCATCGCTCATTGAATCATAGAACCATGGAATGGGTTGGGTTGGAAAGGACCTTAAGGTCATCCAGTTCCAACCTCCTGCCATGGGCAGGGACACCCCACACCAAACAATGGCACCCAAGGCATCGTCCAAGTTGGCCTTGAACACCACCAGGGATGGAGCATTCCCTGGGCAACCCATTCCAGTGCCTCACGACCCTAACAGGAAAGAATTCCCTCCTTATATCCAATCTAAACTTCCCCTGTTCCAGTTTTAACCCATTACCCCTTGTTCTATCACTGCAGTCCCTAATGAAGAGTCCATCCCCAGCATCCCTATAGCCCCCCTTCAGACACTGGAAGCTGCTCTGGGTCTCCATGCACCCTTCTCCATGCTGAACAGCCCCAACTCTCCCATCTCAAGAGCAATCCATACCCTCCTCTAACCCCCCAATTCAGGGCTGAAGGGGGATCCATTGCATCCCAAGGGCATTGGGAGGGATCCCACATGGAATTGCTGCTTCCATGGCACTGATTTAGGGGCTCACACACTGCTTTCCCTCTCTTCTCGCAGGCTCAGGCTGTGCAGAACTGCAGCATCATGTAACGCCACGGCACCATTCCCGGGATCCCTGGGCAGGATTTGCTTTCCCAAAGGCAGAGAATTTCGGTGTTTTCTTTTCGACCCGCCGGGATCCAGCGCCGACGTCGGGATTTTTTCCCCTTTTCTAGAGCAGGAATTTTATATATAAACCTCTTGGAAACGCTTCCGGATGCTCACATTTTTGTTCTTTTTTTTTTGTAGAGAAAAAAGTCAAAAAAATATTTCTATAAAAACCAAAAACCAAACCAAAAAAATAACCAAAACAGCTTTTTTTTCAGCATCCAAATCCTTTTAAAAGCGCAGCCAAAGCCAAGCGGGAATCGCGTTGATGGATCGGGACCATTGGGATCCGACCGCTCCATCCATGCGATCCTAATGTTTGCCAAAGCTTTTTCTCCAGGGCTGGGACAGAGCAGCTCTGATGCTGGTGCCTGACGTGGAGCGTTGCAATCCTTTGGGTTTTTGGGATTTGCCCCCAAATTCCTGTTTTTCCCCCCATTTTCAGGGCGTCCGGCAGCATTCCCGTCACTCCATGTACTGTATTGCCCATCCCAAGCGCCTCTTTGCCCTTTGGGGTCTCTCTTTTATAAGCAGCCAAGTTGTGCCTTAATGGGAGCCGCTCCGGAGCAGGGATCCCACCCGGCATCGAGGGGTTCATGGAATATGGGAAGTTGAAAGGCCCCCGGAGCTGTATCCTGGTCCCAGATGGATTTGGTGGATGGGGACATGGACCCCGCTCCTGCAGGACCCACTTGAACCTCTTTGGGGGACGCTGCATCCAGTGGGGTTCAAACCCTTCTTTGTTCTCCAATGGTAGGAGCTCCTTTTCCAAGCTGGATGAAGCCAAGGATGCTTTAGGAAGGTTTTCCCATTGAGTGGAAGGGGGGCAGCTCCCCACATTGACCCCCAGTTCTGGTGGGATGTGGTGACACCGCGTTATGTATCTGTGCTTGCCAAGCTTCTGTATTCCTGCCTCTGTTTCCTTCTGGAATCAATAGAGCTGATCCCATCCCATCCTGTGTGCTGCTGTCATTGATGTCCTGGGATAAAGGGGGGATTTTGGGGGTCCCCCAGCTCCAACACTAATGAAGAGGGGGTGCGATGTGGGGAGAAGGCTCAGAGATTCCCTCCCCTTGGGGTGTTGGGAAGGAGAAACCCCCTTGCATGGGATAAATGGGGAATAAGGGGGGGGATGCAGCCTTGCCCTTCCCATGGGGTGACCCCAGCATCCCACCCAGGGGACCCCGTTCCCTGTGGATCCCCCCCCCTACCCAGGCTGTGCCAGGCACTGGAATGAGCAGGAGGAGATGTGGGAACAGGGAGGGAGCTTTAAGCCAGGCCTTAATCGGCTTTACCGGACCCGGCACCGGCAGCCGCGATGGGAGCGGGGGGGGTGCAGGCACAGGTAGGTGCCCCCCCAATGGGTGTCGGTGTCCCCCAACCTTCATTGGGTGCAAGCAGGGCTGAGGGCAATGGGTGCCAAGAGGGAATGGGGCTGGGACATGGGGGACCGGGGCTGGTGGCACTGGGGAGGTGAATGGCCCTTTGCCAGCATCAGTGAGCTCCTGGCATGGCCCCATAGGGACCTTGTACAGCCCATGGGGACCTTGTGCTGCCCCATAGGGACCTTGTACAGCCCCATAGGGACCTTGTACAGCCCATGGGGACCCCACACATCCCATATAGACCTTGCACAGCCCGACTGGCACCTTGCACAGCCCATGTACAACCCATTTATGGCCCATGGGGACCCCACACATCCCATATAGACCTTGCACAGCCCCATTGGCACCTTGCAAAGCCCATGTACATCCCATGTACAGCCCGTGTACATCCCATGTACGTCCCATGTACATCCCATGTACACCCATGTACATCCCACGTACACCCCATGTACACCCATGTACATCCCACGTACATCCCATGTACACCCCATGTACACCTCATGTACATCCCATGTACATGCCATGTACAACCCATGTACATCCCATGCACAACCCATGTATATCCCATGCACGTCCCATGTACAGCCCACGTACATCCCATGTACATCCCATGTACACCCATTGTACATCCCATGTACATCCCACGTACATCCCACGTACATCCCATGTACATCCCATGTACAACCCATGTACATCCCATGTACACCAATTGTACATCCCACGTACATCCCACGTACAGCCCATGTACACCCACGTACACCCCATGGCACCTCACCCAGCCCACGAGCACCCCTCACAGGGGTTGGGGTCCTCCAGCTCCCCGTGCCCAGCTCCGGGCTCCCCCTATGGTGGGTACCAGCACAGGGACCGGTCCATGGCCCACCCGCACCCATTCCCGCACCCCAGGGATGCAGCCAGGGATGCTCGGCACATCCGGCCCCATTGCGGCCCCCTCCAGGCCCCCTGCGTGCCCGGGGGGGGATTAAGGTCAGGTCTCCCTGCTAATCCCAAGGGTGCTCTATGATGGGAGCTTGCGCCCATTGCCACCCCTCGGGGCTGCACCCTAAGGTGCTGCTGTGATGGGGCACCCATAGGGGGACCGGCAGTGGGGGGGAGGGGGTGTGAAAGGATTGGGGGGTCCGGTTCCAATGCTTGGGGTTTGAAGGGGGCCGGGGCAGCTCCACATCCCCACGGCTTTGGTTAAGCCTCATAGGCACGAGGCTCAAGCTCCTTAGGGATAACAGGGAACGGCTCCGGAGCGCTGGGAAGTGGGGAGCAGCAAAGGGGCTCCTGGATGGGCTCGGTGCAGGCCTGATGCTTTCGGGGTGCTGGTGCCCCCCCAGCAGGTACCTCCCTGGGGGGGGATGAGGGGATCTCATAGGGATGTGCAGGGAGGAAGGGGTGGAGGCAGGGTCCCGTTTGGGGGCTATGGGAAGGGGAAGGAGAAGTGGGATCAGGGCAGAGTTCCCCTTATGGGAAAGGCCATTGAACAAATGGGGGGGGGGGTCAGGATGGGGCCCTGATGGTGGGCCCTGAACCCCCTCTAGGGACCCCCCTAAACCAGCATGGCTGGTCTGAGAGTAAGGATGAGGGTCTAGGGATGTGGTGTGGATAGGGGGGTACAAGGATGGGATGCAGGGATGCAGTGTGGATAGGGGGTACAAGGATGGGATGCAGGGATGCAGTGTGGATAGGGGGTACAAGGATGGGATGCAGGGATGCGTGTGGATAAACAACAGTGTGGATAGGGGGGTACAAGGATGGGATGCAGGGATGCGGTGTGGATAGGGGGGTACAAGGATGGGATGCAGGGATGCAGTGTGGATAGGGGGGTACAAGGATGGGATGCAGGGATGCAGTGTGGATAGGGGGGTACAAGGATGGGATGCAGGGATGCAGTGTGGATAGGGGGGTACAAGGATGGGATGCAGGGATGCAGTGTGGATAGGGGGGTACAAGGATGGGATGCAGGGATGCGGTGTGGATAGGGGGGTACAAGGATGGATGCAGGGATGCAGTGTACAAAAACAAACAAGATGGATCAGGGATGCGTGTGGATAGGGGGGTACAAGGATGGGATGCAGGGGCGGTAAGGGGACAAGGATCAGATGCTGGATAGGGGGGTACAAGGATGGGATGCAGGGATGCGGTGTGGATAGGGGGGTACAAGGATGGGATGCAGGGATGCGGTGTGGATAGGGGGGTACAAGGATGGGATGCAGGGATGCGGTGTGGATAGGGGGGTACAAGGATGGGATGCAGGGATGCAGTGTGGATAGGGGGGTACAAGGATGGGATGCAGGGATGCGGTGTGGATAGGGGGTACAAGGATGGGATGCAGGGATGCGGTGTGGATAGGGGGGTACAAGGATGGGATGCAGGGATGCAGTGTGGATAGGGGGGTACAAGGATGAAACAAACAAAACACAGGGGGGTACAAGGATGGGATGCAGGGATGCGGTGTGGATAGGGGGGTACAAGGATGGGATGCAGGGATGCAGTGGGATAGGGGGGTACAAGGATGGGATGCAGGGATGCAGTGTGGATAGGGGGGTACAAGGCTGGGATGCAGTGTGGATAGGGGGGTACAAGGATGGGATGCAGGGATGCGGTGTGGATAGGGGGGTACAAGGATGGGGATGCAGGGATGCGGTGTGGATAGGGGGGTACAGGGATGGGATGCAGGGATGCGGTGCAGATGCTACAAACAGGAGCAAAGTGATGCAGTTATGGGGTGTCCAGACCTGGGTGGGGGTGTGGGGGTGTGAAGGTGCTCGGGGGTGCCTGTGCTGCGCGTGTCCCCGCACACGTATGTGCGTGTGTGTGGTCATACATGTGCCGTGTACACGCGTGGCCGCCCGTGTGGCCGCCCCGAGCCGTTGCCATGGCGACGTGAGCAGCATCCGGCGGCCCCGGGGATGCTCCCTCCTGCCCGGCCCTGGGCTGCCGCAGGTCGGTACCGGGACCGGGGCTCGGCGGGGGCTGCGGGCGGCCGCGATAACGGGGATGGGCTCCGGGACCCCCCCCCTCAGACCCCTCCGGTGCTGCCGGGAGGGGACAAAGGCCCCGAGGTCCCAGCCTCGGGGATCGCTTCCCTGCATCCCCCCCCCCTTCCTCCCACATCTCCTCACATCCCCTCGCATCCCTCCCCTATCCCCCGGGTCCCTCCTGTGCATCCTCCTACCTCTTCCTATCCCCACCCTTTGCGTTCCCCACCTCTTGAATCCCTCCCCTTCTGCTCTTCCCCAGATTCCTCCCATACCCTTACTGCATCCCTTGCTTTCCAGCTCCCATCCTTTGCTTTCCATCTCCCATCCTTTCCTTTCCATCTCCCATCCTTTCCTTTCCATCTCCCATCCTTTCCTTTCCATCTCCCATCCTTTGCTTTCCATCTCCCATCCTTTCCTTTCCATCTCCCATCCTTTCCTTTCCATCTCCCATCCTCTGCTTTCCATCTCCCATCCTTTCCTTTCCAACTCCCATCCTTTCCTTTCCATCTCCCATCCTTTCCTTTCCATCTCCCATCCTTTCCTTTCCAGCTCCCATCCTTTCCTTTCCATCTCCATCCTTTCCTTTCCATCTCCCATCCTTTCCTTTCCATCTCCATCCTTTCCTTCCCATCTCCCATCCTCTGCTTTCCATCTCCATCCTTTCCTTTCCATCTCCCATCCTTTCCTTTCCATCTCCATCCTTTCCTTCCCATCTCCCATCCTCTGCTTTCCA